TTTATGCTATTTGTTCCTGATGTTGTTGTTTTTATTCATATCGTAGTTGGCGTTGTGAAGCTATAAAGGGTTAACCTTATGTATAATTACATGAGCTGGTGCTGCTGTTGTTTCGATTAGCGCAAGGTGTATGGTGCGTAGGTGGATCGATTCAATAACGTCATCAAGTCGTTTGAGATTGCGTTATGATGTCGAACCTCGACGATTGGCAAAAGAGCGTGAGTGTGTGTGGTGGAATGGGGGAAGTCAAAAGCATGTAACCATTTGTTGTTCGGAATGTTGGAGCTTAAGGTGAAAAGACTACTGTGTTGGTGGACTAAATATTTTCATTTTTTACGATGCTCGACCATTTTGGCCATTCTTTTTGGACACTAAATCAAGTCAACACATAAAAAACAATCCTAATGATTGGAACAGCATAAAACACAGTTTGACCGGTGATTCAATCCCATAACTAGTCAACGTTGTCATTCGATATTGCACTCGGAGCTTTGATTTTGAACAAACAAATAACAAATTTCACACTTGGCTTCCGTCAGATGTCGAATACTACGGCACATACAGTGTGATCATTAAATAAGTGTTGAATAACAATGAAAGCATTTTTTTTTGGTCTCGACACGCAATTAGATGCGCATACATTGAACGAATTTTGCATAATGCTAATTGAATTGCGTGGGTCAAAAACGACCACAACAACAATGATGCCGACAACGACATCAACAATAAAAAAAAAACATCGAACATTCATGGTGGCAATTGTAGTACATAAGTGTGTTTATAGGCAACGCTACGTCGATTATCGTGACCCTGAAACACTGCCATTCGCTTAAGAAGATAATTTTATGTTATTCTGTTTGTTTATTACGAATTTTTTATGAAAATGATCTAAAGTTTAGGTCAAAAATGATGAAAAACAAATTCTTGAGAAAATATTTGCGCCAAATGTGTGTTGAACAAGACGTCAAACGTCATTAATTTCTTTAATAGCGATATTATTTTTCGACTAATTATATTTGCTAAAATGTAAATTAAGCTTGCTAAACAGTGAATGAAAATTATCTGCATTTGAATTGAGATTTAAATTTAAAATGTGCTTTTTTACATTTTTTATTATTTTTTTCTTTTGTCGGCAAGGACATTTCGAGCGATCAATATCCAGCAATTTACTTAGTCCGCAAAATCACTTAATGGAATTAGTTTATTTCGTCAGTTTCATTCGTAGCAACGATTGAATGCTCTATACGAACCGTTCAATAACCGTTACGGCATCGTAACGACATCTATCGACGGTGTTGCGAAACTCAGTTTACGAAAAGAGTGCTTTTTAACCGTTCCAACGTTTCGAACGAATTTCGATTTCTTGCGTGTGAGAGAACCACTAAAATAATGTAATTTAAAATAGAAACTTTGAGATTTTGCGTGGGAAATTGATATTAAACAGGCTAAAAATGACAAAATACCATCGTTCGTTTGGAATAAGCGAAAAGAAACCACACCCGATGTTGACCGTAATTGAGAAGCACAATCATCGGTATCATATACGGAGTTTAACAGTAGAGATAAAATATATTGTCCACACATTTTGTGTATATTTTTAGCGTCACCATTGAAAAAAAAAGAGATCAGACAAAGACAGCATCGTTAAAAAAAAGAGATTTAGAGCTCGAGAGGCACTCTTCGACTTCTTCTTTGTTTTGAAGCTTTATTAGTCTTTGGTCATTATTTGCACTGCAATCGATACAGTCTTCAAGAGGCGATTCAATTTCACATATTTACTCTCTCCACAAATGAACTTCATTCACACTTTTTCAAGAGAGACAAAAATATGGTCAACTTTTAAGTTTTTTTAAATATAATTCCACTCAGGTAATGCGAGCGTGTAAGACTATAGGAAAGGTGAAAAATCAAATGGACTTTGAAAAAGATCTTTGAAAAGGTATTTTGATTGAAGAAAAGACAGAAAAGACTTCCCAATAAGTTGATGTGTATGTTTTTCTTTATCTAATCGGTAGTGCGTGGGGTTTCTTCTACTGTTGATGTTAAATTCCGAAAATCACCTATTTTGGTGGCTGCGATTCGATTCGGTAATGTCAATCACGCTATGATTTTGCTTCGTTTCTTTAAATGACAGAGATACTCTTTTGTCGTCTAGACACCTCTTCAACAAATTCATCGCCGTTCTTTATGATGGTAATTGCTGTTTTTCAGATTTTTGAATTGTGTTTATATTGTTATTTCTTTCGGTCATTTTTAAGTGGGTACAATTCACATTCCAATCAATGACGTGTGTTGATTAACACATCATTTTAATTTTTAAACTGATGCAAATACAACCTATTGTGAGAAGAAGAAAGAATGCCACGCAACGACCCTCGAAAGGGTCCACACACCCAAATGAAAATAAATGTGAATTTTTATGGTGCGTAATTCAAACAATTTTCATCATCGCCGGATTCATCAGGGCATCAAATCATTTTATTGCTTTTCTATTAACCGCAAATGTTACGAAAGTGGCTTTTTTTATATTAAATGTGTGTTTGTATGCTTCTACTTGACGGTTTTATTGTTATTATTGTGTTAACCTTCGATTAACCAGTTTTTGCATTTGTTTTGTCGATACATGTTCTCTAACATGAAGACAGAGACAAAAAAACACAAACATAAACTATATTTAAGTCAGCAAATCAGCGCACCAGCTGTCGTTGATGCTGTTCATTCATCGTGCACAATTCATTCATAAAATCCTTTTAGTAAATGTGAATATATATATAAAAAAAGACAACGAATTCGTGTGGGCGCTTCCGATACATAAGCACACAAATTGAGATTATTCAGCAATTATTATTCAATTCGTTTTTATTTTCAATGTTTGTGAATTGCCATAAGAATCAATGTTGATATTGAACACAAATTATTCGCAATCAGCTTGTTTTGTTATTCAAATTCAATAGGCTATAAAACGCATCACAATCATTTTAATTGCATGTTATCGTTTAAAAAGTTGGAATTCACCATTTTATTGCCACTGGCCATGTCGCTTTCAAAATTAGAACGAAATGTTGCCTAAGAATCGACTTTTTTTATTTCCTACGAATATCGACCACCGCATGATTTGATTTGAAAATCAGCGTTTAAATATAAATTTATCATTGGAAAATGATCGATTAAAATATTTGAAATTCAAATGAATCGACTGGTCTAATTTGATGACAAATGTGCAGACCTTTGGAGAGAGAGAAAATTGTAAGTGATTTATGCATGTGCTCTGATTTGACGTGGGATGAAGTCATTGCAGAAAATATTTTGCGGTGCCCAAAAGTCGCTGTTCTTGAAATAAATCAATGTTAAAGCCACAAAAGCATTTTTTTCTTCTAATTATTATCTGGAGATTATTTTGCATTCCAGTTATTTTTGGTGCAATATTTTTCATAATTGATTTTAAAAAAAACTGAACAAACAAGCAAAATAACAAGCAATCGTTCTGTTTTTAATGGCATCATATTTTTTCATCAATTTATTGACAACATTGCAATTGTGGAGTGCAAGCGCCATAATATTGTAACTAATCGCCTAGCAAATCGCATTAGCGGCCAACTTTGTTTCATATGCTCAATTCAATATTAACTTCTGTTTGTTTGTGTTTTTGTTTTGTGGTTTTAGTCGAGCATTCATCATTTGTGGTTAAGCTTGAAAATAAAGTAGTTAATTGAATTAATAATTCATAAATTACAAATTGCGAATGTAATTCTTCTGTACATGCGTGTCCTAATTTGAAAATTTTCTTCACTTTTTGTACATTTAATCGAATCAATATGAAATGCAAACGTTCGGAATCGTCCGATGATGAACTTGTCTGTATGTTTTTTGTGCCGAAGAAAACGGAAAATCCACTCAACCGAAGCAAATTATTTTATAGCCGAGATTAAGACCAATCACAATCTGTCATATTCGATGATTTTTGCTGTCAATCAGTCAAGATTTAGTTACAAAACAGTGTTTATCGGCCAAATCGATTCGGTCATGTGAGATTTGAGATAAACCCACATCAAATGATTCGAATTATCTGCTATGAATAATGAATGACATCTGACATCTTTTTTTCATGTGAACAGTGTTTTCTTATCATCGGCATACTGACCTTTTGATAAAATCAGAATTTTTGCATTCTTTGATGATGTTGGCATTTCTAATAAATCTTTACTGTCAATTTCGTAGAAAAATCGAGTGCAATTTAAATGTATTCTGTGACTTCATTTGAAATGAACTTTACAAAGCCATTAAAAAAATGTGTTCTGTTTCCAGTATTCAGCTGCCAAACTTTCAATTTCAAGACGTAATATCAGGTTAAAATGATAAACAATGTGCACGAGGTGTATTGTTTGTATAAAAAATTTGGTGTATGTGACGATTATCGTTAATTCTTTGGGGATTAATATCGAGACACAATGCTCCACAAAAAAAAACAGATTGCTAAGATTTTTCGGCTTTTCAGATCCAAAAATATCACCTCATAAATAATGGAATTTGCATACAGAAGTTGCTTCTCATTTTTGCGCTATCTCTTTTCTATGTTCACGTCTATTTTTTTTGGTAGCAGTTTCGCGACGCAAATGTGTTTACACAGTGATTGTTGTGTTCGATGATGTGTCATCCGAATAATGCACCGTAGACAATAATGCCGTCAATAAATATTTGCATAAAAATGAATTTGAATACAAAAGAAAAATACCATACGCGATGGTGTTCGTCGACGATTTCACCTTGGATCCGATAATTTATTAACTAATACAAAAAAAAAATAATAACCGAACGCATTTATAATAAATTGCTTTTGTTTGGTTTACTTTGTCTTTAAATCGCCAAAACAAAACGAATTTTTTTTCGGACCAGTATTCATAATATGAGATTATTTCATTGCTCGATGTTAATCTCGATGTTGATGAATCGGTAAGCATAAATTACCGAATTACGAATAATGAAATGAATTAATCACTTACTTGGAAATGTAGAATAATTGTCCATATAAGACCTAGCGTTAATTTTGGATTGCCATCAACGATGTCTTCGGCCCGAATGTTGACCAATTTGATTTTCTTGTATCGCAGGAAATCAAGCGCCATCTGAGCATTTTGCAGCATGTGAAAACGCATCTTGCCTTTTTCTCGTGGCTGAAACCGAAAAAGAAAGAGTTTAATATTCAATGAAGGAACGAAAGATACACAAAAACCGCATTTGTTTACTTACAAGATGTTCGCCAGAAAGAACTTCCAGGAGGGATAGCAGATTGTGTCCATCGCGCAAATCCTCGAAAAGATCATCGACACGTCTCGACGCCTGCCGAAAAGCAAATAACATACAATTTCAATAAGATAAAGTCATTTAAATTGTGAAGAATTTTAGTCACACCAACATAAAATAATGGTGAAATAAAGCACACGTGAATAGTGCGAAAAAAAACATCTTCGACACAAAATTTATTGTGCAAAAGATCAAACCGAACAAAAAAAAACTCAAAATGTGCCAACAAAAACAACGATTTTTTTAAACAAATTCAAATCTGATTCAAAATGTTTCTTTTGAAGAACAAAACAGTGAAAAAAAGGCCCCAAATTAATTCATTGCAACATCGAACAAAATGTGAAACTTAACTCAAATTGTTAAAAAAATACATATAATAATCACACCTACAAACTCTGCAATAAGAACATTTTCAACTTTTGCTAACTTAGTCACAAGATTGCAAGTGTTTAGTTGAAAAATCACAAAATTAACGATAAAAACGAAAAAGAACGACAAAAACCAAAAAAAAAATCACACAAAGAACACAAGATTCAAACGAATCGGATGGGACTTACGGATGGAGAACAACAGGAGGTTCCATTGATGACAACACAAACATGAATGTGCGTATATGTCTGAAATAACGGAAATCATTTAGCACCAACGAAATTTCAATTCAACAAATCAATTCGGAATTCGGAATTTGTTACTAGTTTAGTTTTTGATAAGAAAGCACAAAGTTAAATTGCCAAATTAAAAAAAAAAATCGATCAAACAAAAACATTTAACTGAATTTTAATTCATACCTTAACATATCTCCAATGCTATTAATTGAGATTAAAACATGTTCGAAAAAATGCATAATCGAGAGAGGTTTGCAGTGGTGTAAGTATAACATTGTGACACGAACAAGAAAACGGTTAAATTTTGCAAACCACACACGTGAGCGAGTCATGTGTTCCATGATCCACGCGACAACGAGCCAAATTCAAAAAAAATAGAGAGCAACGATAAAAAGAAGAGAAAAAAAAAACGATCAAGAATTGGTTAGTTGCGAGTTACTATGCTGTGTATGAAATCGATAATAAAGTGTAATTAAATTGATATGGTGCTGCGCAAATTTGCCAAATGGACATAACGAAGTCGAAACACGTTTTCCTATGATAAATTACAAACTAATTTTATGGTAGAACAGCAGCAGCAGCACACTCTAAGAGCCGATCTTAGACGATCAACGTGAATACTGAATTTGTATCAATCCATAAAACGTTTACCTTAATTGCATGCCTTTAAGTAGTGTAAATCATTGAAATTTTGCCACAGCTTTATTCACCAAACAAACAAACAAACAAATTTATGCAGAAACGAACAAGAAGCGCACTACACTTATACAAATGAAAAAGGGAGCAAAAAAGCGACACATGCAATATAAATATTTCGAAAATGTCGATATCTTTTAATAATAAATCCTTAAATCCGTTCACGGGATGTGACGTTCATGTCGAAAAACCAAATAGGATCAATGATGATGCCGCTGCCATTAGCCACACCATGTGGGTGGCATCTACATTGATTATAATTAATGAAAATATGTTGTTGTTGTTGTCTTCGGGCGTCCAACGATGGAAAATATGTTACAAGTGTTGTCGTTTGTTGTTATTGTTATTCTTTCTTCGAATTTCTTTTTGCAAAAAGTGTGTTTGACGAAATAAAAAAAAAAACAAAACGGTTTGCATACACGAACCGAACCAAGATAAAAATAGGCAACATGCACTTAGTATGGAATTTGCCTTCAAAAATATCGAGAATTTTCAAGAAATGCATTTTCCAATCACTGAAAAATTGGCATAAATGTTTAGCCGCTCTCTTTTGCATTCGATACGAATACACAAATTGCGGACCGATGAATCGCGTTTACACTATTCTAAATTACAGTAGCCAGTAGGCATGTACACAAAAGACACATATGTAAAAGCTGCGTAAACAATACGTTTGTACAGATTTATTTTTCATTCACCGTAGATATCGAGCCATTTCAAAATCGATCGACTGGTAAATTGTTTGTAATAAGCAATTTCGAGCCACGAATGCCGTTTGATTAAAAGAACCAACGGGCCTCAATTGCACGGTTTCTGAATACACACATACGACACAATGAGCAAGCGAAGAGTTTGCTTGAAATAAAAGGAATTACACGAAAGCATTAAACATGCAAATACACTTAATTTAATTTTATCGGTAATTTTTTTTTCTGCTTGTTCCTAGACTTCATACGATTGCGATCAAATACAATTTGTTCGATTGACGAGACGTAATATGCATTTGATTTTGCCAATTGAGTTATGCATATTTTTCTCCAGATGGCTATTTTTTTCACACTTTCGCTGGTGCATCACCTAGTGCTTTCGTTGCATGTGAGAAATGGCGTTATAATATGGTTCAAATGAAGGCCACATTCCATCAAATATCTTTTCACTTTCATTATTTCGACAAGCGCGAATTGATAGCGTGTTTTAAAGCAAAACTAACGACATTTAAACGTTGTTTTGCTTAAAACATCAGTACTTAACTCGATTTTTTTCCATCGTTTTATCGCCAATCAAACTAAATACTAACTGCTGTTACAGATCAAATTCAAAAGATAACACCAAAATTACAACATAGTTTTCATTTGGGTGTGAGTTTTGTGGAAAAAAAAATAAACGACTGCAAAGTGCAAACTACTCAAATTGGAATGGAACAACATGCAATACAATAAAAATCTGGGTGCTATTAATTATTTTCGAGTCTATTCACGATTGCTGGACATGTTGAAAAGTGAAAGCAATAGCAAAACAGAATGAACGAGACAGAGAATGAGGGAATAAACGGTTTTTCAACAAAAAGCATGCCTCAAATCGACTCCTTAACGCATTTAACTGATTACAAATCGGTTGGTAATCACTGAACAAGCTCAACAGAATTAAACACATTGATCAAATGGAAAAGGAAAATTAAAAGAAATTCCATTTCGGAAACTGAACAAATAATGTGCACGAATTCAGTATTAAATGTGTAACTTCCACTGCATTTCACCGCATCGCATTTTATATTGTTCGAAATAAATGTGAAAACGGTAATCGTGTTGAAAAAAAAAAAAAATACCAGCCGACGGTGAAACGAGGAATTCGTTCTACGTTTACAATGGCATGAGCTACAAACTGAATTCAGATTTCGAATCATAATCGCACATTTGATATTGAAAACTTCAATGAATAATTCGTTCGTTTTAAGTGTTCCTTCCTTTGTTTTGCATTTTCTAGAATTTCATTTACTTTAAAGACCGATTTAGAAAATCGGTCATCACACTCAATGGCGAATGAAAATTGACGCATTCGAAAATTGAAAGAAAACTCGATTCGTATTGTTTTGCAAGAAATAAAAAATGTGCGTCCTTTGTTAGGTTTTCTGTTATTTTCACCGTTCATTGTCGCATTTTTCGTCGAATTTAACTGAATGCGTTCACAAGTGCAATTTAAATTGCGTCTGCTGCAATGAATCGCAAACAAACCGAAAAGAAAAAAAATCATCAGTATATTGAACTTCGGTGTTTTCATGATTAATCTCTGCCGGTCGCTATTTATAAGCATCATTTTGTTCATGTGTCTACATGGTCGCATGTGTGTTATTTTTAGTCACAACACTTAACATAATAATAACATCGAGACGAGCATAAAAAAAACAGCACCAAATCGTTTAAACAAACATATTTGTGAACAAAATGCAACGTGCATGCGTATGTGTGCATCCGTGCCAAGACTTTGCACTTTATCATTTTCCAAGTGGATTCCAATTACAGTTGCCGCTTTAGTTAATGTGAGTGGCCATAATTGCGATAGTACACGATGCATTCGGGTGAGTGTGCGGACACACTAAAAAGAAGAGTGTGCGCCAGAATATCCAATGCGACTGTAGAGGGCAAGGCGGCTGTGTAATGTTCGAAATGCTTATGAGTACGTGATTTAAGAACGATGATTTTTTTTCTTTTTATATATTTTATGGCGAATTAAAAGGTGCGGGAAAACACCATTTGAAAAAGCAATGAATCTTAGAAACCTAGCAAATTATTATTATTGAGCAATTAAGATTGTCAATTATATTTACGGAATGGATGCAGAAACGGCGGGCACAGAGAGAATCAACAATAAAAATGTGGTTTCCATTTCCATCAAGTCTCTCTTTACAATTTATCGCATTTCTTCTGATTGAAACACTTAATTGGCATTTCATTTATTCCCATGTAATTATCGGAAATGTTTCATTTTTATTGAATTGTACTTTGGATTTATTGAAATAATCCCCAGCTCAGATTAATTGGAAACCAATCAAACTATACAGATGTATTTTCACTTTGCATCGCACAAATGATTTATAATCATTCATGAGTCAGAACCGGATTCCTTTTTTTGTTCCTCTCTCATCTTGAAGAAAGCTCTGCGTCTGCGTTTTTACTAATTGCACAATTCATTCGTTAGCATATAGAATGTGGCCCATCATTATCATTTTATGTTCACATTCTTCCTTTTTTCAAAAGAAAAAAAAATGTAATTACAAATGAAATAAAAAGTAATTTATATCTAAGGCACACTTTCCAGCCAGTATTCAATTCTGCATCAATTGCTTGTCGGTCTTTCACAAAGTATCAAAATAAAGGCGGATATTGATAGACATTGAATCACGTACAAATGACGATTTTTTTTTACATCGAATGTCAATTACGCGAAAAGCAACACACACACACAAAAAAACCAACTAGAAAACATTAACAAATTATTAAAAATCTTTGTAACTGTGTCGTGACATCGTATAATGAAATTGTCAATTTATAGTATATATTTTTAGTGAATTGCGCGCGCACACTTTATGTTCCGTCATCACATCGACATTCAATCGATTTTAATTTTATTAATTTATCATTGTCAAATGTCATTCGACATTTGTGAAAATGTTGTGGGTTCACCCATCTATAAATATGCTTGTTCACATTTTATTGTGTTCGAAACGATCAAATCGATCGATTTATGTGTATAAATTTTTGTAACGATTAATATTGCAATGGAATCGAAGAGAGAAAAACGAAAAAAAAAACAAGAATTTTAATTGGATCACAGTTGATTCGAGAAAAGATCATGTGTATGACTTGAAAGTTCCGTGATGAACACACACACACACTCCCGATAACAATAAATATCAAATAGCGAACACTTGTAATTTGTCGGAATTGTTGTTTGGACGTTTGCGACAAGTGATATAACATGTGTTATTTTTCTTGTCGTTGTTTACATTTGCCACCGTCAAACAAAATTTCTAATCACTTTTATCTGATTAAAATCAGGTCAATCTTTTTGTTTTGTTCATGTGCAACACACCAGAACGTTTCACTCTTTCTCCGCTCAATTTTTGTTGAATGAACTAATCCAAAAAGTAAATTAAATTTATCTAAATGATTAGACACGCTGTTATTATTCAGACGTTAGGCGCAATGAAGAGTCATCGTATGTGCCACTTTACAAACACAAACGGATAAATGACTCGGTTAGTGAAAATGTCGATGTAATTTATCAAAATCCCTGGCTTAGTTTTACACTACGATTGTGTTTACAGCTTGAACATCAAATCAATGCTGTCAAATTGAGCGATTTTCATCATTCTCTCTTCTGTTTTCTTCGATATAAAAATAAATTTGTTTGTCAAAAGCGGAATATTTCCGCGTCAACGTCAAAAATGGAAAAAAAAATATTTAAGTGACTGATAAACTAATGACGTACTATCGCATTTTTGATTGCATATGTTGAATTTTTGTGGGTGTTTTACCATAATAAATAATTATTTACAACTTCTAAGCGTCGAAAATTCCATCGAATGCGGTGCTTACACGTTTATCACATGGAAAATTCATTTTACATTTGTAAAATGGGTAGAAAATATTCAGAAACCTCAAAACTCAAGCGTATGACACACATCTTTAAATTGATAAATTAATATTCATTATTCTTGCTAATTAAGTGTAATGCATGAAATTAAAGAAAAACAACAACTAATTCGAAAATTATACACGGTTTACACCTAAAAGACAATTGCAACAAAGTTAAATCAAAGAGAGAATTGCACAAAACGATGAACAAAATTGGAAATACAAGGCAATTTTCATCAATGAAAGATGATCAACAATAGAAAACATTGAATACACAACAAAATCAAATTGCAAGCAAAACAAAACGACGTTAATTTTTCACAATATTTTACAGCAGCGAAAAGCGCCGCTTATATTATCTAAAGAAGAGAAAAAAATCGATTGCAGTTATTTTGGTTCGACAGGTCAACATGCACTTTTCGTTATTTGCACGTTATCCTTCACGTTTAAATTTAACATTTTATCGAGTATATAATGTGAGCAAATCTTAAGAAATAAAAAAAAAGATGAAAAAAGATGTTACCTTTTTTAAATGTTTGTTGACCCATTTTGTGAATGTTTTCTTCTGAATTGCATCTCGTTCGTCTGCAAAACACACCATATGTGTGATGGCCGGTTTAAAAGATGCCGCCAACGATGAAATGGTCAACCAAACCAAAGATGATTTTTTAAAAAAAAAAAAAAAAAGGAGAGAGAAAAAGAAACGGTTAAAATGATATAACATTAAACATTTGATTTTTATTTTCGGTTCGCTGGAATGTTCTTTGATTTTGTCCATGTTTTTTTGTTGGACACAAGAGAATCACACTACAATTATTGGTACATAATTTTTGTATATGTTTTTTTTTTCTTTGTTTCGTTCATATACATATCAGATGCGTGTCTTGAACTTTTTCATTTATTATTTTGACTTTAATGCCATGTCTTTAGGGTATTAATTATTCATTTTCTATGCGAGATTAGATTATGCTTCGGGTGAGATCAGTGGCACAGCAACGATCAATACCAACGCAATACATAATCCGTGGAAAGAAAGCTACGGCACATATTAATTTCAGTGGAAATATTACTACTTCTTAGTTTTTTTTGTCCAATTAATCAAAACAATTAATTTTCACTGAGAGGAAGGGAGAGAGAGAGAATAATAAAAGAAACATATATTTCACTTATCATTCGAATCAGCGATGACTACCATGAAAATGCATTCATTTCTCTCTTTCCCTCTTGGAATACATCTCGATTCATTCTTGATTCGTGGTTGATTGAAGTGGCATCAAGCCACAAGAAAGAAGTAAGAATATTGGCCAACCCAAATGTTGGTGTTGCTGCGTATGGAATTTGTCCGAAGTTTGTGACTATGAGTGCATCATTAATCACGCCTTCCATCGACCATGACAATATAATAATCAAGATATAGATGAGTTCATCTCGAACTGGTTTCTACTCTACCAATGAATATTTCGGTCGCAATCGGAAGATAGGTTTTTTTTCTGACTTTGAAATAATCCCATTAAGGTAACACAGCGATTAGATTTTTCTTTTTATGTAATTTTCGTGTTTGAATAGTGAAATGAGAGAACTTCTTTTTTTGTTGTTGTCATATACTGTAATTTTTGTGAACGTAGTTTTTTTTATACGACATACTAAGAGAAGACAATGACCTTATCTAAATGATAGGTTAAACGCATTTACACATCTGAATTTATAAATTAGAAAAAAACACAAAACAAATCATTTCGCTGGGATAAACCGAAAAACAAGGGACTGTTCGTCTGAGGAGGAAAATGAGGAAGAGGAAGAAGAGGGTAAAAATTTTCGCCTGAAAATATTTTCCTCCTCGATTGAAGAGGATGGCCCTCCTCACTGCTCTCCTCCTCCTCCTCAGAGCAACAGTCTCCGATTAAAAGAAATCAAATATGCATTTGTTTGGTATAAAACACGTTTAGATTTATACAATTCAAGTTGCAGTTAGTTTTAGCACACACACAAAGAAGAAAAAAACCGTCCAAAATATCAAATAACACTTTGTTTTAATTTCAACTTTGTTGAATCGATAATAATTCATCATAAAACGTTCAATGTTGAGCAAGTATTTATAGCAAAAAGCTATATAACCGACCGCAGCCCACAATATAATCATTTAAGACATTATATGAGTCTTATTAATCGATGTACTTTCACACAAATTGCAATATGGATGTTCGAGACGGGAATGTAGTTGATGGGTTATTTCTGTTTCATTTTTTTTTCTGCGCCATTCGATACAGATGCGGAAAAGAAAATCACCATTATCGCCGTAATCTTCGCAATCTTTGATGTTCGATAGCGGAAAAACTATGTTTGCATAACCAACAACCAAAAACGAGAGCAAAAAACAACCATCGCGAAAAAGAAATTACCATTAATAATAATGATAACGAAAAAAAAATATTAGTTGAACCAAACAAGAAGAAGCCGAAGAATAAGAGAAAAAAATCCAACGACTCCGATCAATGATAACTACGATGAAAGACGTACGAATTTTTATTCGTTTTTTAAGCAGAAGACTTTCAAAGTAATATTTAGAAAATGAAACTTTGTGGTCGTATGCCGAACTCCGGCTGATAGATTTAATTATTGAAAAATTTGCTAGAGGAAATTAAGAGAGGAATACCACTCGATTGCAATTGAGTGTTTTTTTTTTTTCATTCGATTTCCATGAAATTTATTCATTTATGTACATTTGAAACGCAATCATCTTCCGGTTTTTTTCCTCTTCAAAGCGATCGAATTAATTAAGAAAGAGAAAAACGTAGCGCTAGTCGATGAACTAGATCCGCCACTGCAAACAACTTGAATGATTTATCGATGTTGGACTTTTACACCGCCAAATTCAAGTTTATCGTCATGACATCATTGCTTTCGTCATTATTTTTATCACTTTACAGTAAAAAAATGCAGCATTTTTCGGGAAACGAATCGCTTGAAATATGTTTGACATAAAATCAGGCTTACGCGAACAACCTTCGACCTTTTGGCTCTTTTTCAATACAAAAAAAAAATCAAAGTGACTGCATGTGGACTTGTATGAAAAAATAGGAAATAAAATCGGTTCCATTAAGCCGCTTTAGCTGATGAATATTCATTAAATGAATTTACTTGTTTTTTGTTGTTGTTTATCAAACAGACAGGTCATTGAAGTCGTTTTAAGCTGATAAATGTTGTCGATTTGATTCAGCTGTCTTGCAGAAATGATCGAAGAACAGTGAACCAAATTGGTGTGGCTGAATGGTATTCAGTCAATGATCGATATAACACATACCACCGTGGTGTGGGCTCATGTATATGGATGATTGCGAAATGTGGCCAAATGGATTGAATGCGACTCATCATTATAATCGTAGTTATTATTAGTATGGTTCTTGTTCGGTTGGTACTACCAGCAACGTAATTATTTTATGCTTATGCTGCCATGGATATTGTCTCGAATGATTGTCGATAACTCTGTTCTTTTTTTTCGTTTTCGGTCATCATCATGTTCTTTTGACGTCTAACAAATGACTAAAATGTATTGTTGTAGAAGAACATGTTCTTTTGGTCTGTATTTCTCTTGTTGCTGTGTATATGTAAAAAAGTAACTTGAATTCTAACGATAAAAAAACTGTTGTGAGGTCAAGTTTTTTTTCTCTCTTTCTCAGTAAGGTTATAAGGTTTTGGTTCAATGTACATTTTCGAGAAGAGAAAAAAAAGTATGCTCATTGATTGGAATTCTTTGAGAATAAAACAAGATGCAGATTTTAAATTAGTAACTCAACTCAAATCCATGCTTGAATTCGGGGTGTGAAGCGAAAAAAACTTAGAAATTAGAGTATTAAATCTCGGGCGCAAACTCGGAGGGGGTAAAACCACACACACACGCTTAATAACGTAATTGTGTTTGAATCGTACCTGATGCGTCCCAATTTTCAACAAAATAATCCCAAATACTCATCGTACCTTTGAATTGTGTCAATGCATCTTCGTAACCGTCACCTTGATTGTTACTATTGCTATTGATTGCGGCAATATTGGCGCCGATATTTGCACCCGGACTGCCACTAACATAGCTGCCACTGCTGATGGCCGTATTACTGCTGCTGTACACACTATGCTTCAGCTTTTTGGCCGGGCTATTAGAGTAATAGCCATCCCGGCCTCCGCCGCCGCTGCCATTCGAATGTTGTTGCGTGGTGCTGCTGCTGTAATGATGTTGTTGAACAACACGCCGTGATCCGGCTTTGATCGTTGTCGATCCACCATTGCTGCCACCGCTGGTTTCATACAAAGCTTCGCGTGGATCGAAACCAAGACGATCCTTATAATAGGATTGCGTTGACATTGTGCGAACCGATCACCCTCAAAGAAATTGGCTAATTCAGTTTGAATGACACAGAATAAGCCAATTTGTTGTCGTCAGTTTACGAATTCAAGCTTTGTTGTTCGCTCTTGCTTCGGATGCGTTCGGATGGATGTGTCGATGGATGCAGCACTCGCACACTCGCCGCTCACTCATTGAACTATTCTTTTTTTTTCTCACAAATTTTTTCGTTTTTTTCGTGATCGTCGTTCTTTTGTATTGAATTTTTCTTCGAAAATCAAACCAAAAACATAGATCTATTTGTATCTCGTTTTTAATTTCAAATTTTTTTTTAATTTAATTATTATTCTTTAAATATTTCGTTCTGTTCGTCGCTCTGTTTCTTGTTTTTCCTTCGTGCGTGTCTTTTCTTCTTCGTCTTTTTTATTTACAAGTTTCACAACAACAACAAAAAACAACAGTTATAACTATTCAATGGCACTTGTGTGTTCAAACAATAACAAAGTGTACGAAGTAAGTAAACTGAAAAAAGGGGAGGAAAAGTAGAGAAAAAAAAATTGTTTATGATATAACAACTTAATAAAAATTGTTTGCTGCTCGTTTTTTTTTTCGTTGTTCACACATTTTTTCGCGTTTCGTTTGCGCATCGCGACTCATAGGTGCATATATATTCCATAATGATTATTTCATTTGATCACTAAGACGAGTTTTCTGTCTTTTTCATCTTATATATATAATTGGCGATTTTTTCGTGTTATTTCATGTTTTGTTGTTTTATTTTTCTGCCGTGGTGTTTGCGTGTTAGCGTTAAGAAATGCTTTTTTATCTATTTTTTCATTGATTATTGGAATTCGATCTGTTCTTGCACTGTTCACGTGCATACACACACACACACACACATACTTGCAATCATTCTTCACACCTGTTCATCCAACGTACATCCATAGAATTTACTTCATTTTTTTTCTTAATTTTCTTTCCCATCACAACATAGATCACACTGTTTTTTTATATTGATCGCCTTGTTTTGTTGTTGGCTTTTTTTTCTTCATAAATTATAAAATGATCTACCTCAATTTCAAGTGTTGAATTTCAAAATTCCACAGAAATTATTCAACATTCGAACGGATCAGAATCATTTATATAGTATTTATGATTATTTTTTTCTTCGTTGTTCATCATAAATCCAATTGATATTATCTTAATTTATAGAATGTGTGTTTTTTTCCTAATTTGACAACATTTCTAT